TTCAGTGGCTCCCCATTGCTCTCAAGGTAAATCTAAGGTCTTAGTTTGGCCCTGAAGACCCATCAAAATCTGGTCACCACTACTTAGCCACTTGCCCTTTCACCACTCAGACTGACACTGTTCCTCTCTGCCTGGAACACCGTCATCACCCTTCTTCTATGAAGCCTTTAATGCTCTGCCTACACTTCACTGAACATTCAGATCAGTGCTCAACACACATACCTGTCTCCTAGGGCCTAGCACAGGGTTTGACACAGTGTTCAATATATTTTGTTGAAGGAATGTATGAAGACAAGTATGTTCAAGCCTTTTTAAAAAAAATTCAATTTACAATTTTTAGTTCAAGAGAAATTTTAATTTGGAGTCCTAATTGGGACTCCAAAATAAAATCATATGAAACATAAGCAGCAAAGTTATACCGTATAGCACAATGGGAATTACAGTCATTATCTTGTAATAACCTATACGGAGTATAATCTGCAAAAATACTGAATCACTCTGCCATACACCTGAAATTAACATAATATTGTAAATAAAATATATTACATAAACAAAACAAAACAAAATCACACTTTCTAGTTGGTCTGCTGTCTATTCCTGCCAGTCTGGCTTTTGCTCCGTCCCCTGGTGGTGGCTCTAGGCTTAGCAGGAAAACTAAGGATCCTTTTAAGGTATTTCCGAAACCGGAGGTGGAGGACGCCTTTATTTACATACCCACAAGGCATTGCACACAGGATTGTTCTTACTTTAAAACAGCTAGATTCTTCTTTTTATTTTGACTCCCCCCCCCCCCACGATAATGAGAATATTTTCAGAGAATTGTCAGCGATAAAGGCAGAACTCACTAGCTGTTTAGGATAAATAGTTACCATTGCTGATCTAGGAGTGACAGTTATCCGAGAACTATGTGAGCCGTCACGGTAGCATACTCTGGTTTCTCTTCAGATCGTATAAATCTTTCGCCTTTTACTAAAGATTTCCGTGGAGAGGAACAATTCTGAGTTTTTACCCAATTTTTTGAGGCCTTGCTTTTAAGCAAGGCTATTAATAGAAGTTAAAAGAATAGATCTTAAGTGTTATGCGGGATTCTGTTTGGACTGTTTTCAGAAAGGGTTTATAATCCCAAGTTGTTTTGATAGAATGTACCACTGAACTTGTCAACTTACTGCTTTGTTATTTTTTTGTCTTTTTTTGGCCATTGTGTAGTTTGTGCTGGTTTATTCTTTTGTGTGTTAGAGTGAGTTGAGAGACCTTCAAAGTGAGCTTGGGTAGTCCTTTCTGTTCTGTTTTCATAAATTTAACTAACGTGTGTGAAATACTTGTATCTGGAGGGTCACAGTGGGTGGCATGGTGGAGGAAGAGTGGACCTGCACTCTCCTCAAGGAGATAGGAGCCAGTTCAGGGAAGGGCGCCATTGGCCTCTTACTCTCAGGAACCAAGCCGTTATTAGAAATTCAAGTACATTCACAGAGGAGGTGGATACACTTTGTCCCCAGGGCTTCGATTTTATGCTCACACATTGGGGACCACCAAGCATAAAATTCTCAACTGCCTCCTGTGCTTGGCAACAACAGGTGTTTGTTACCTGTGGACTATCCCGTTAACCTGTTTTTGTTTTTAGGTCTTGAATTAAACTTTTAAAGTTCAGACTTGGGCATATATATCTGTTTACAGACATTTTTCAAGGCAGTACCTGAGCAGTTCAGGAAAGGTGCATCTCTCTGGGGCTCTGGTTCTCAGTGCAGTCGGGTAACTTGGCTTTTTAAAAAAAACTTTAAAAATCAAAGTATAGTTGGCTGCTTTTTGTATCACACATTTATATACGTATTTTCTTTATGAGGTAACTTAGCCTGAAAACTAGAACTGTTAAAAATAGGTTGTATCTGTGATTTCCAATTTTTATGTTATATTAAGACAGCAACCAATTGTTATAAATTTGAACTTTAAAAATAAACTTATACTACATAACAATCAAGAGCAGTATGCAAACCTTAACTGGATACTAATCAAAACCCAAAAACATACCAAAAAAAAAGGAAGACAGGAAGAAAACAAGGTATGTTTTCGATACCTTTGTGGAATTTTTAATATGTATTCTCTTTGAGATATTATTGAATTGATAATTGTATTTTATTTCTTCTGTAACAAATTACTACCCATTTAGTGACTTGAAACAACATAGATTTATTCTTCTCACAGTTCTGGAGGCCAGAAGTCTAAAATCAAGGCTGCACTCTTTCTAAAGGCTTCAGGGTGGGGGGAATCTGTTTCCTTGCCTTTTTCAGCTTCCAAAAAGACAACTTTATTCCTTGGCTCGTGAGCCCTTGCCTGCATCACTCCAACCCTCTTGCTTCTGTCTTGTCATCTCGTTATCTCCTGTTGCTAACTCTGGATCCTCCTACCTCCCTCTTATAAGGACCCTTGTGATTACTTCGGGCCCAGCTACATAATCCAGGAGAATCTCCCCATCCCAAGATCCTTAACCACACCTGCAAAATCCCTTTTACCTTGTGAGGTAACATATATATTGGTCCCTGTGATTAGGATGTGGACATATTTGGAGGCCAATTACTCAGACTACCACAATCATGATATCATAAATATGTGTGAGAATGTCCTCATTTTTAGTAAAAAGATAATATGAAGTATTTAGAAGTGAAATGTCATGATATCTGAAACTTTCAAATAGCTCAGTAAACAGAAAGCAAATGTGTCAAAGGGTATAGGTATATAGATAGTCATTGTATTATTTCAACTCTTCTGTAGCTTTGAACTTTTGAAAATAAAAAGTTGGAGGAAAATAAATATATGTTAATAAATTCTATGTAATGTGTATTTGTTTTAGATATTTGTATTATACTTAAGATTTCATTTTAAAAGCTCCACTGTTGTTAAACTATGATCATCTTAGATCAGTGGTTTCCAGATTTTTGGATTTTTCAATTAAATTTTCCAAAAAATTTCTAAGGTACTATTTTTTAAAAAATTGTAATTCTGCAAAAAGAGAAGCCATTTCAAGACTAAAAACAGTAAGAATTACTTGACACCAAAGGACAGGACACTTATTTAGAATAGGAAATCCATTTAGTTTTATGGAAAACATGCCAATATTTTGTTAACTTTTCTCTCCTCCCTCTGCCACACTAGAGGAAAGTTGAGGCTTAAAATCCCAGTTTGGGCTGCCTTTGACCATCAGTATCAGGGCTGGTGATGCCCTCTTGTGGCAGTCTGGAGAATTACTGCCATCTGACTTTTTTTCCCACTTGAAGGGACAATTCCCTCACAATAATTCATTCATTCCTGTGTGCCAGACCTTGTGTTTGGGCTATATCAGTAATGAACACAAATATCCCTCCCCAGAGCTTACATTCTTGTGGAGAAACAGACAATAAATAAATAACACATAAATAAGTGCTATGGAAAAAACAGCAGTGTGGGGGGACTGCGTGGGGGGTGTGTGTCAGAGTACAAGAAATAGTAGTGTGGGTTGTGACTTAAAAAAGTAACCCTTATTGAAAAGGTGACTTTTGTGTAAAGCGCTGAAAGGAGGTGAGGGGGTTAGCCATGCAGATATCTGGGCTGAGAGCTTCTAGGAACACAACCTAGAAGCAAAAGGTCTGTTCAAAAGCCCTAAAGCAAGAGCTTGTTTGTCAATTTCAAGAAACACACAGCCAATGTGTCTGGAGCCCAGTGAAGGACAGACAGAGAAGTAGGAGAGCATTCTGAAGTCATGGGAGACTAGATCACCTAGGGCCCTGGGGGCTGTAATAATAAGAGCTTGAGCTTTACTCTCAGTGAAATGGAGAACCCTGCAAGGTTCTGAGCCGAGTGACAGAATCTGAAGTTTACAAGAACCACTCTGGCTGCTGTAGTGAAAGCAGAAAGCAGAGTCACCTAGAGGAGAGATGATGCTGGTTCAGATCAGAGTATTAGCAAAGGAGGAAGTGAGATATGGTTGGATTCCGGATATATTTGGAAGGTAGACTCAACAGACAGAATGGATCCAGATGTTAAAGAGAGACATCAAGGAGAACTCCACTATTTTATTCTGAGTGGTAGGAAGGATGAGTTGTAATCAGTTGAGTTGGGGATGATGGCATGGGACCCTCAGTTCAGTTTTGGACACAGATGAAATAAAAATCCATATTCTAAGGCAAGTCAAGGAAAATGTGAACATAAAAAATTTCCTCTGCCCTTTGACCTCCTCTCTCCCCTCTCCTGTGCACTGTGTATCTGCATTATGCGTCATCCAAACTTCCCGATAGGCAAATTCCTGCTCAACCATGAAGAGCAGTATTCTTCTAGCATTAGCAAGATTAACTCTTTAGGAGATAACCTTCCTTCTTAATCTTGTAAGTGGCCACGACTAGTAACTGCTTTGTACCTGTAGATATGGATTGTGTGAATGTCACTGTGTATGTCATTTAATGTACAGCCTCCGTCTCAAAAACTTATATAACTTTGCTCTGACTACTTTCTGAAAGGCTGTTCCTAGGTTATAATCCTCAATTTGGCTCGAATAAAATCTTCCATTTCTTTCTTAGACTGACTAATTTATTCATCGGCAACACAATAAAGTAAAAATGTTTAGTCAGAAATAGAAATGTGGGAGTCACTGCAGATCCGTGGTACTTAAGGCTCTGAGACAGGATGAGATCACCAGGGTGTAAAGGTAGAGAGGAGGCTCAAGGTCAGAGTCCTTCCTCACTCCAACTTTAAAAAAGCTGGGTTGAAGAGGAGGAATCAGGAAAAAGGAGTGAGAGGAAGCAACCAAGGAGTCGGAGAAAAAACAGGCAGGTTCCATGTCCTGGAGGGGAGAGGGCAGGAGCCAGCAGGGAGCTGAGGTGAGACCCTCTCCTCAGGCTACGCTCTTGAATCCTCCAGGATGTTGGTGGCCCTTCCCTTCAGATCAGCTTTTTCCCTTGGTGAGCAGAGGCCCCCCAGCGCATCATCATAGGTCTCATTCCATCTCCCTCTGCCCTCCACACATAGACACCAGATAGACAGTAAGACTGCTTATTGAACCCTTCACAGTCAGCTCTCCCTCTTCCCCACTGGCCTGGGGAACCCCTAGCCTCCCACCAAGGGCCAAGAAGAGCTGCCCTGAGCTTGGCCGCAGGCTCCTTCCTTCTGCCAGACTCTCCTGCCACACAGCCTTGGCTTCCCGGCTTGCCTCAGAGGCTCTGTTACTCCTTGCCTTCCACATCCTCCTTCTGGAAGTGTGTGTTGTAGGCCACAGGATCCTGATTACGATGGCCAAAGTAAAAGCTCACGTTGCTGTGGGAGAGGTCACTGAGGTACAGGGCTGAGGGCAGGGAGAGAGATGGGCTTGAGTCTGGGTGCCCGCCGCACCTCCACTCCAGGCTCCCTCACTCCCCACTCACCTTTGGTGACATTGACTTTGTTGGCCGCCAAGATGTCCGCCTGAATGCTATCTATTTTCATATACAGGTCCCCGGCGTTGCTCTGAGGACAGGAGCAAGGGGAACCCGGCTGGATGCCAGGGCGGTCTGCACTTGGAGTTGGGCGTGGGCAAAGGGAGGTGGTAGGCTGGGATCGGGCTCTCAGCCTGACTGGAAGGGCAGGAAAGACGCCAGGTGGAGAGGCCCCAGTCTGGTAGTTTTTTGCCGGTGGCCGTCAGGCCAGATCTTGAGGGGGGATACCAGGGGCGAGGCGGGGCGCAGGGGCACCGTTCTATTCCGGCCCGCAGCTCAGAAGGACGTGGCGGGGCGGGAGCACTCACGAAGAAGAGCTTGTAGAGTTCCTCCCCCATGGACTTGCGCACGTGCTCCTCCACCACCGGGAACAGCTGCACGAAGCACTGCGGCGAATCGGCGGGAG